TCCAGTGGGGCAGACTGCTCGTAAATTGACAAAAGAACATAAAGTCCCAAAAATGCATGACAGTCAAAGAATTACTCCCATTATGGATTTATGGAAATTCCAAGAGCAAATCAAGAAAATAAAGATGAAGTATATTTGATCTGGAGCTTTGAAGAAACTACCAAATTATAAAAAGCCAGAGAACTTAAACGCAGCTAGTATCATTTTATGGAAAAAGAAAGTTCCTCCTATCCCCATCCATCACTTCCTTCCCCACACAAAAAATCTCATCCAAAGCAATTTTGAGACAAAAAAAATGAAAATAAGATAAAAAGCACTGAATCAAGAAGATACTCTCAAGAATACCATACATTCAGAATCTTCCAATCAAATATCAGTGATACTTGTTCCAACAAGAGATATAATAAAGCCAAAATAAAGCAGCATACATAATAAGGAAATAAGGATGATGCAACAGCTATAACAGAGTATGAATTACAAAAAATGTAATATCCAGTTCAAAAGCTAAGGCACCGTTTGGTTGATGCTTTCACTATCGGCTATCTATTATTTTGCAAAAAGCAAGTAAAAAAAAAACATCAATCAATTGAAGCCTAAACAAATCATATTATATATAAAATTTAAAACATATTTCAAAAGAATCATAGAAGATAGGGCATACAGCGAAAGTATGGAAATCGCCAAATGATAAGGTCCTCATTCCACTGCTTTGGCAGGAAGCGTTTTATGGCCGGTAATATTGTTGCCCTGAGAACAATGGCAGAAAGAATAGATGTAATAATAATCCAAACTCTGTTTGAACTAGTCGTATAAAAGTAACACAATAATAGCAAATCCATTTGGAAAGAACGTACGAAAGAGCGATGATTCCAAGCACAAAGAAATAACATGTCAATACTGCATTAACCAAGTCTTTTGATAAGAACTTGAACAGTAAGAAAAGTGATAACAGCATCGCACTCCCAACAAAGGGAAAACGCATAGCATGCTCGTTAGACATTGTCTCCTGTATGATAGACATGACATTGTTAGCAAACTTTGATCTAAAGTCCTTAACGACAAAAACAAGAAGGTGCCAAAATTAATTTAAATGCTACCATACTCACAGATGGTGGAGTTGGCTTGACAGATCGATAGCAGCCAACATATACTGTGAGGCATGCAGTCAAGATAACATTTAAGTTGGGGTCTACCTTCACAGCAAGTGGTGCCAATGTCAACCCTGCATTTAGAAAATCATGTATGCTACATTAAAAACAGTCAGGCTTCTCAACCCTGTGAAAATAGAATATCTAATTATCTATGTGCCTCCTGAGAGATCTCATATCTGACAGTGACTTATAATATCAAGCACTCTGGATTCCATTTATTCTCTAAAAGAATTGGCCACAAAGCTGTTATCTATTTTTTCACCAGCATATCAAGGAAAGATTCATGATGCATGGAATCAAATATTTTAAAGATAATTCTGCATTTGTACTGAGAAAAGTGAGGATATGAAAGTACATCCATATGGTTGTTGCTTTTGCCACTCACTTTTTGGTTCATAAAAAGTTGCTAAAACGAAAACGAAGAATAGTGAACAAAATTATATTTAATTAAAATAAGAAAATATTTAAAACGTAAAATAAATTCTAACATAATTCTTTTATTATAAGTAAACTCATGCATTTTGTTCCTTCTTAATTCTTCAAATTTGTTTTTATGTCCAAACAAACAACCGAAGAAAGCCTAAATATCTATACCTTGTTTAGTATTTTCATACGTGCAAAGATTCAGAGACCAATGAAATGTAATTCCTTTAAAAAATGTCACATACAATCCATAACTTTATAAACAAAAACAAAGATCACTCATACCATAGAATAATGAAGCTACCACATTTCTACTCAAATTACTCATTTCCAAATCGGAAAAAGAAAAAGAAGTCAAATTTCACCGCCCATATCACTTCTTTCCTATCAGTTCTTTTGCTTTTCTTTTGCCACTGTAACTAAATAAATTCTCTCTGCTCCTACTCAACTAAATTCAACAACTGAATTAATCAAATTAAACAATAATCATCGAAGAAAACAAACCAAAATGTAAATAAAAATTGAAATGAATCAAGAATAGATCAAGAAAGGCAAACCTGCTAAAGCCAAATTGGCGAGTCTTTCAGTGTTTTTCATCGTCGTCGCCGCCGTCGCTTATTCTAATACAACAGCTTCCTTTTAGCCACAAAAAGAAACTACATGTTAAAATAGATCGAAACAATTCAATGACTTATTAGATAAATAAAGAAACAAAATCAAAATCAAAATGTAATTGAATTCCAAGTAAAATTAGGGATTGGAACCTTTGATCGTATTTTCTCTCTTTCTCTCTCTAACGGTCGACGGAGTTCTACAGATCGGAGATGCCGGAAATGAGAGCTAAGAAAAGAGAAAGAGAGAGAGGGAAAGGAAAAAGATTTTTTTCTTCTCGTTTGAGAGGAGATTTTATAGAAA